TATTATAATTATAAGATACAAAAACCCACCTCAGGTCTAATTTCAAAATTCTTGAGAGCTGGCTGGGATGAGAGAAAACTTCAGACAAAGCAGTGATATCATTATTACCTTTGAAAAAGAGTTTGAAGTAAATCACATTTAAGTACTTTTAGTATTACCCACTTAACTGTTTTGAATTATGGTTCTTCGTTATTAAGGTGATGAAAGTGTTAGAAATCAATGTCCCACCACTGATGTGGTCACTCCTAAAGTTAAATGCGAGGACAGCTAGATTAAAACAATTTGCAGCTCACTTCAGTCAGATGAAGAGAGAGGATATGTGCACTGAAGAAATGATACTTCTGGTTTCAAAATCAAACAAGTGTACAGCATGGGTTTGATCAGTAAACAACTGTTGCTACAAGTAACAGGGATGTGCAGATTATGTGACAAAATTCAAATCAGTCCTTACTGGTTACAACTCTTACAGTAATCACTGGTTTGATACAATCACTCATTAGAATACACTCCCTACAAGACAATCACAACTTATGCCTTTCAACTTTTCTTTTCGTGGCACAAAAATGGTCAGAAATGCAGCTACAAAGCTGCACACAAATGTGATACTGACCTTAACTAATTAGCTTAAAGGGAGAAACCTGATCTGAAATCCCCAAATGTTACTTTGTATTTCTGCAATAGTATATAATGTCTAAACATTTAGGGTAAAACAATTTGGAGAAATAAAACTTACACAATCCATTCCTTGCCAACTTCAAAGTAATCAGCGTTTTGTTAATGCACAGGGCTGCAATTATGTTTTCACTTAAACCTGCCACAAATGTTCGAGAAAAACAAATACAAGTAACAATGAGAACATTACTTGGGTAAGTAGTGAACACATTTTGCCCTTTCCACCCATAACACCTCAAAAGCTCTAAGCAATAAAAGACAGAAGGAAGGAAAGCATTAAGAATGACAAGAAGGGAGAGAGAGTAAAGGAAAAAAGACGAGGGATGTAACTTAACTATGACTTACAGTTTTTAACCCTTTAACTCTAAAGATCTTGATGTTAATTCTCCCCTCTAGTTTCTACACATTTCCTTTTAAATTAGGTATGAGAATTTGGTGATAGATCAAGATAACAACTTCAAACTGATAAGTTTGAGTATTCTCATGACCTGTTTTCTTGATAATGTGAGAATGTTATAAAGAGAAGTTTCATGTTAATCACCCCTGGGAGTGAAAGGGTTAAGAGAACACAAAAACTATGAACACATTGTTAAGTATGTTTTAAAGAAAGAAGTCATTTATCTTGTGGTGATCATGGGAAAAAGAAAAGTCTAAGTTCCCAAGAAAAATTTAACTCCAGTTGACCTTCAGAATTATGGTCTACCTCAGAGCTACAACATAATGATGTTGACTATCACATTTTTATTTACTGCTGTTCCATCACTACCACCCCAGGGGTGTGTTATTTCATGGTTATTTTCTTTTCATTTACCTCTGAGTTGACAACCACTTATGTCCAGCTCAGTTATTGTGCTACTGGATGAAAGCATTTCAGCAAGGCTGTTGTCACTGTTGGGATCATAATGGTTGCCTTTCACACACACATGTTTCACATTCCTGTTACCTAAAGTAGTGCAATTAACAAAGTCAAAATTTCTAGATTACAAGTTCCTTGATAGTAACGATAAATTACAAACTTGTACAAACTGAATATTGAACAAAAGACCTTTGTCTCTCTCTTCATTAAAATATTGCATTTTAAATAAAAATCAACAGGCAATGTGTTGTGGGCCATTTAACATAGCTACAAAGAATTTTAACTTTTTAACTATTGAACATTGTGCAGATCCCATACAAAAAACCTGAAAACAAACCACAAATAAACAAAGACATTTTTGAGGTTTGCTAAACAGTCAACCCAATAAGCTATTTTTTCTGAAACCCTTTTGCTTTAATTTCAAGCACCTTCTATATAACCATATTCATTTGATAAATGTATAATTTTAATCGTAATAATCAACATATCAAGCAACACAAAAATATAGCAAGCCTTATGCACTTCCTGACACAATAGACACAGATGGTACTGATAGTAATGATACTTAAAGGGTCTTAAATCAGGTGCTTTTTACCTGTTAATGCCTGGAATAACTGAGCCAGACCAATGGTGTTGATGTCACAGTCTGACAAAGTCAGAGAGTGAAGAGTGCTGTTTCTTTTTAGTCCCTCTGCAATGAAACTTGCACCCTTCTCCCCAATCATACAGCTCAACTTCATTACTTGAATACCAAAAAACACATCACACATGCCACTTTTTGACAGCAAAGGGTTCTTATTTTGGGAGAAACTTTCAATTGATTCCATGGACTCTGTTGGTTCAGCATTCATTTTGCACCCCACTGATGGTTTCTGGGCACCATCACAATCACCTGTTGGACAACTTGCTTTCCAGCCACCTTTACCACTCTTACAAGCCAAACAATCATGGACATATGAACTCCTCTGCTTACTATGAGATTCATGAGTCAAGTCCTCAGTGCTCATGGCAGAGTCACTTAATGGAAATACTGAATCAAACATCTTTTCCTGGAACTGCTTGCTTACATTGCACTGACATACATCTGTTATTACTTTTCCTAAATACACAGAGGTACTTGGTGAAACTATGTTTGATGAGAATTTCAATTTGGTTAAATATCCATGACTACAGTTGCAATCCTTGTAACATTTACAGCACAAAGAGACCACAAGTCTTTCAAAAAGGAGTTTTGTAAATTCATCATTAACTGGGTTATCTGTGATTTGAAGAGAATGCAGTCCTCCATTAGTACAAAGAAAACTAAGTGTATCTACAAACTCCCTGCCAGGTGTTGACACAAGACCAAGGCCATTATCTTGAAGAATCATCGTTTCCAGGGCCAACCAAGTTTTAAGGGTGTGCACAAACGTCATAAAAATGTCAGTATAAAGCCTGAACCCTACCAACTCAAAGTGAACCAGAAAACATGTATGTGCTGGAAACCAGGTTAATGATGAATCCAGTATAGAAGATTTAGGTGAAAATTGGTGTGGTTCTGAAGATTTCTGTAATCCTTGGTTTTCAAAAGGGCAAAAGTTATTAACCATGACATCACTTGGCTGTCCATAGGTACTCTGACCAAACACTTCATCATAAAGATCTGAACTCAATGGATCACTAATATTAGTTTCAAATCTTTTCTCACCTCGCCCATACTTGGTGCCTCTACATGAGATGGCTACAGTTCTTTCATGGGTTTTAGGTGAGTCATTCCAGTCATCAAAGGCATAAATATCAATATCATCATTCTCATGAAAAGAGTCCAAGGTACCTTCTTCATTGGCATCTGTAGAGTAATTCAAGATAGAATCAACTTGAACCGAGGCAGTCTTACTGTGTCCACAATTTGACTGATTACAAGTTTGCTGGACAGAGAACTTGCTTTCTTCATTGAATGCTTTACGTTTTGAATTTGGGCTGGAAATACACGTACATGTGCTTATAAAGTTGTCTTCTACCTTGTCAGTCTGATTTTGTGGACTATTTGTTGACAAGGAGTCAAAAATCCTGCTCCACAATTCCACACCAGAAACTTTGGAAAAGCAAAATCCAACAGATTTCAGTCTCCTTGAAGTTAATAGCTGAAGAAGATGACACAGCTGATTGACTCCATTGTTTCTTAAAAGGAAAACCTCAAGAAATTCTACATAATCCACAAGCTTTAAACAGAGGTTCAGATTGTCAATCAGTAAAATGACAGCTGAGTTGTAAAGTCGCAAGTATGTTGCATATCTTCCACAAATGGTGACAATGTTTTCAAGACTTTGGTTTTTGGAAGAAACAGCAGCGTCACAAGGAATACGCTCAGCATTGAACTCTGTAATGAAAAGTACAGAAACCAAAGAAATCACTGATACAATACAATATAAAGATAGATGTCATAGAGCTTCAAAAAGGTACATGACAACAGCAAAAATTACCAAAAACTGTTTTATTTTTGCTAAGAGTTCACTCCAGCACATAAATTTAAAATTTGTATTGATTGCAACATCAATCATATTCAACTTCTTGATTAGTTGATTTGTATCTTGTTTGCAGAGAAAAAAGTGATGAATCAGTTTTTTAATAAAAGTAACATTCTTACATAATTATTCAAAAAGAGACTTAAGTGCACTTACAAATTTTTGCTTCACTGATTGTGCAACATTCATAAACAATTTATCTTAATTTGTTAATTGTTCTACATATACATGTACCTGCAGAAGAGCAGCAACTGCTCTCCTTATCAAGATCACGTTGACAGTTCAGGGCATCTTGGAGACATCTTTGAAGATAACAAATACGCCAACTTTCACCTCCCTTTGAAATCCCACTTTTGGTAAAATAAACATCAGGCCATTTGCTCTTTCTTGGCCAGGAATGCAAGTAAAACTTTTTCCAAAGATGATCTGTGTCAAGTCCTGGTGACAATAACAAAGAAACCATCAGTAAAAAGAAATTGAGGGAAACATTTGATAGCACATTTAAAGATGCTGTACATTAATTTTCAGGTCATAGTAAAACCAGTTTGAGTGGTTTCTCATTTGCTGTTGGTACATTATTATACTCCTTAATCCTTTAACCCCTATGAGTGACTAACATCTAATTTCTCCCTAAAGCATCACCCCTGAATCAAATGTTAAGGTCATGAGAATAAAGGAGATGATCATCAACAAAAAGAAGCTCTTGATTGTTGAACAAATTCTCCTTATCAGAACCCTAAGAAATGTCTAGGGAGTAGTATGGAGAATATTTGCACTGATGTAGGGAGTAAAGGGTTAAACAGAGGAAAGTACAAAACAAACTACAAAAAAATTAAGGGGGAAAGTTTCTTGATGAACTGTGGTGCTGTGTTAGTGGGAGTGTAACAAGATAATTGATTAATAATAATTAATATTTTGGTTTTATCAACTAGCTAGTAAATTTGTCGACTCAAATTCAATTGCGCGAGTGTGCTTCATATTCCTATTGTGCACGCTCATGACGTCAGCAAACAAATCCCTCAAGGAAAAAAGTTTTCCATCAGGTTGAAAATGTTATAAACTAATTGGTTCATATGTCAGCTGTGTGTTCATCAATATTAAAGCACTTGGGAAGTTTGGAGAGCACTCAAGAAGCTAGAGTTGCTCTCAGCTACACCTCAAACAACTCTTATGCATCTTTTGTGCTCTCCAAACTTCCCATGTGCTTCATATCTTGATGAACGCATGCTGACGCATGAACCAATTGTTAATGATTAAATAGGCCACAAATGAGACTTTCTCAAACTGACTTGAGAGAGTTCTATTGGCTGTGACAAAGGACTAATGTTCAAAATGTCACCTTTAAAAACTTTCCACTGGGGCCAACTCACAAATTGTCACACAAAACAAATTTATCCCAAATTAATTGTTAAACAAAAGCATCAGTATAGGTAATTATGACCCATATTATTCATAAAATATTTTGTAATAAAGAACAAATTACCATATGATATAGACCCATGACATTTGAAAAAAGGTAAATCATCATATAAAACAAAACTACACATAGGTTGATAATGAGAAGAAAGGAAATGATTGCCAACCTAAGAAGTTTAGATTGCTAAACAAATTCTCCTTGTCAGCACCAAAGAAAATGTATAGAGAACAGTATGGAGAAAATGGATATTGATGTTAGGGTGTGAAGGGTTAAAAGGACCACCACAAAATGTACATGGTGGTATATTCTGCCATGTCCAGGGGTACAGCTGTGCTTAAGTCTTTCTTACCAACAGTTTGGAAAATGCCACTGACTTCAAGCCTTTCAACATCAAAAGGATGGAAATTCTCTAAAATTGGAAGAAGGAGATGTCTTGGAATTCCTGAAAGTTTTATAAAGCAAAAGTACAACAAGCGTAAACTAGGTTAGACTACATACATACAAGGGAATGTTTGGTGATGGTTATGCAGTGCACTGTTTATTTACATAATAATTCACTTTAACCCTTTAACTCCCAGTTCAAATTTGTACTTCTCTTTTCTGTCAACCATACAATTTTCATGATGTTACTTCAGAGAATTTAGTGTTGGATCAACCAATTATCCCCAAATTGATATTGTTCTTTATTCTCATCTCTTATCTGGTTGATATTATATTGATAATGTAAGGAGAAATTCTGTCGCTGTCACTAATGGGACTTAAAGGGTTAAAAAGTTATGCATTTCTAATTGACTGAAAATGCATGCAGTTTCATGTCACTTGAGTGCAAAGTTGTGATGTAAGTGCAAATTCCAAATAGCATGCTCATTGTCAAAATTTTTCTATGATGCTTTTTTCATGTAAATTATTAACAAGTAATTACATGATTTGTAGTCTTTGAAAAATTTACAAGAGCTGATTACACCAAGTTGCACTCGAAATCATGATATTACTTGTTAATAGTGTACATAAAACATATTGCAGGAAGTCAAGACTGACAGAATTTTGAAAGCGTGTTTCATATTATTAATAATGTCATTGCCTAAACATGCATGTAATAATATAATTAAACTATACTTTTTAAGGACAACCGAAAGGTACGCAAGAAAGCACACATTTCCCATTGTTTGTGAGTGCTAAATGACTATTTTAAAAGAGAATCATCGACGTTTTCATTGTGTGTAAAATGGGGTGCATTGTTGTAAACTCGTTCTGGTATTATATCATCACACTCGCTCATGCAGTCACTTAGTTGTCACCCAAAGCAACCCTCAAGGCAATCACGTCCCAAAATCAGCAAATTGATTTCACCAAATGTTACACACCTAGGAGAACTTTAGGATCCCAGAGGTTTCCATGAGCAGATACAAATCTTATGCATAAATCTTCAAGTCTGAGAAAATGATCCTCGCGTCCGCCCGCCATATTTGATTATTGAAGTGGATTGGCGGCGGACTGGACACTATACATGTAACACGAGTCGCGTGACCTTTACTGTACTGGTACTGGTTCATAGAGGGTTCTGAACTTTTTTCACTTTCTTGTTTTGCCTCCATTGAGGATCTCCAATGGGTTTTTCGGGATCCGGGATTAGGCTTATTTAAAGGCCGGGATCTGGGAATTTAAAGTAAGAGGTGAGCGAGATGCGGGATAGATGAACGGGACACGGGAATCGACGATTTTGAGAAGCGGGATTCGGAAAATAATCACTTAAACAAACCAAGAACCGGGATATCCGTTGACGAGAATTTATGGAGAATTGATCTTCTCAGTCATGAAAAGGATTAGGTATACAGGCTCTCTAGCATTCAAGAGGCGGTCGGGCTGCTCAGCGATACCCTTCAGTTATTGCGCGGGAATGAAAATTATATCAGAAGCGAAGTTGCCAATTTATCAAAAAACCTCCATGGCCCACAGGGTAACGTGGTCTAAGACTGTTACGTCGATTGAAATGCTTAAAAAATGCGTTGAAAAACCTCCAGCAAGTCTCGGAATTATACCGATATGATGCTCTTAGCCTGTTGAGTTACATGACACTCGATGTGAAGAACATTCAGTCGGTTGTGCATCACAAAGATAAACTTTTCACCGCGTAGACTACCCAAGGAACTTTGGAAATATAGCCTAAGAAGGCTTAATGAGGACAACCCATTAGGCAGCGTGCTATTTTACAATCCAAATTCTTGGTATCCTTTACCCGAATGTGCCAGGATCCTGTCGGCCATACCAGCAATTCAATCGTTACCACCGCCGATGGCACCACAGAGCCTACAGAAGACGAGGGACTGGGTGTAAACATTTGTTGCAGCACTGTGTCAGCCCACTGTCAGACAGGAAACAACGATGGCAAGAGTTGGAACTTCCCGTCATACCTCTATCGGAGAAAAATTTAGCCGGTCGAACCGGTCAGCCTCGAACGCTCTGACTTCGAGGAGCAGTAAGAAAACAGCAGGAAACAAGACGAAGAGGAAGATGGAACTGAGAGCAACTTCGCGATTACACGACAACATAGCCAGATCCTGGGAAACCGGGCTGGCCCGGTTTCCATGCCATCACGTAGTTGATTTTGTGGCCTTAAACCAAGAGAAAAAAATGGGACAAACAAAAGTGCCGAGATCTCAATAAAACCGAGTCAGGCTGGCCAACCCGGCCAGCCCGGCTAATTTAATCGGGCCATAAGCTGACGGTTGCTTGATAATTTGTCTCCTGCCAATGCAAGCAGCTATTGTTTTACGCTATTTTAATTCATTTGAGGACTTACACGGACGCTTCGGTGAAGGATCTCTACAAAATCATCACCAATTGACAGAAAAATACATTCACAGCCATTGCGTTTAGGATCAACCCTTGAAAAATATACTAGGTCATAACTGTATGGTCCAGGATTGAAAACTAATTCCGTCTGCTATGACTTGTCAAATTTTAATTATTTTGTCTCCGCAAATGTCTAGCAATGCTAAGTACATCTCAAAGATTTCTGCAAATGCCCCCCCTTGATCCGTAAAAATTCTTCCAAAAAGTGTATTATCTTTGTTTTAAAACCAGCATTTAGCTGTCACCCAACAGACTTTCAACAATCATCAAGGCTTACAGTCTTGTTACTTCATCTCAGCTCTTGCATTTATCCAAACACTTCACAATAGGCTGAAGCGCCACAAAGGCCGCATTTTTATGACCGAGTTGAGAATAGTAGTGTGCAGTCATTTCTTCGTCTAGTGGACGCACGCGCGAGGCGAGCGCAATGGGCGAGTCTCGTGCACTGGTGGAAGCTTCAAATCACTGTTCCACGTGAGAACACTAGATCATACTCTGAAAAAGCAGCCAACTTTCCCACCTCAAAACTGCTCTAACGCCAAGAGATATATTTATTACCAGCCCCTGAAGGTTTAACACGTTTTATCTCTTTTCGTAAAGTAATGAACGTTGTCAACTAATCACTAGTGTTTTCAACTTGAAGGCCACCGAGTTAACGTCTGTCCCTCGCTTTGTTCAGCCGGAGAATCTTCATGCTTAGGAAAAGAGTAATTAACGTGCTCAGGCGATATGCGGAGATCCATCTGTAGTATCTTAACAGCGGCTGTTTGTTTTCAAGTTTCTATCGTGGTTTATGCCATACTGAAGTATTCAAATGCTGCATATGAAATGATTTTCACAACGGAAGAGATATCAGAAGAACAGTATGGACTTGAGTCGGAAAGCTTAAAAAGTATTTCGACAAAATACTCCTCTTTAAAGAACATTCGCACTTAGTGCTCTCAGATGACTTTTACATTCGCCTCCAACGTGAAACAACCAAACTTTAACAAAAGGAAAACCGACATTTTTCTTTTAGTTTTACTGAATTGTGTCTGGAGTTGACAGGTTGGGCTGGTTATTGAAACAATTTTCAGCCGTTGTTTAACAAAACCTCATTCTAAACTATCTTGAATTTAGATTAATCTTTTTATCTGAACATATGTTTTTGTGAACAGTGTCAAGAGGGCCGAAAGCTAGCAGTGGAAGGGTATTTATTTAACGAAAAGAACCCTCTTATAAACAACACTTAAGGTCCAATGCTTGCGTAAAGCCGCGGTTTGGGTTAGACCTCGTGTAAATAACTGGCCCATTGTATTTCAAGCGAAGAAACAGCATTCGAAGAACACGAGGTAACAAATCAACTAACACTGTTTTCAAGAAATAGGAGCGTTTTTTTGTTTTAGGCGCGACACTTAACACCAAGCAGTCCGTCTAGAAAGACATTCTTTTGCTAGACGTGACAGATAATTATAACAATTTATTGATAAAGATTCAGGAGTCAGGGCTCCGCTAGAGGCGGATGACCATGTTTACGTATGTTCCTCATCTGACGTCATGGTTAGACTCTGCAGGTAAAAATCATTCAGGATGATAAGATGCACGGAAGCTTCATCTATGATGATGCTGATGCGAAACGAGAAGATATTAACACCGTGTTGCTAGAGATTGTCTTGCAGAAGTATTCTATCCTTCTTACCGTACAGGAGGGTCTTATGTTTTATCCTCCAGTGTTCTTCCTTTATTATTTCAAGCGGTACAGAAGCCAACTGCGATCCCGTTGAAGATGCATGGTTACATGGGTATCTTGGCCAGGGTATTTAGCCTAAAACCAGTTGATATACCTGGTTTTCATTTCTGGAGAAAGCTGAAACATTATGGGAAGTGTGACTAGTCTTCAGCCATTGTCGTGGGACATGGTTTTGCGTTGGAAGACTTCATTTGTATAGAAAAGAAACTTACAGAGGCGAACGAACTTCCTAGAAGTTATCATAAATGTCTATTAGGTAGGTTTTGTATTTATTTACATAACCTGTGTTGTTTTCCTCTTTCTTGTCTAATTCATATTTCGCTTAAGGAGAAACCATTGATGCACACCTCAAATGATAAAGAAGCAAATGTTATCGCTCCAATGTGGTTTGTCTATAGGTGACTGAAGGTTATTCTCCTGAAACTGGAGAATGTCCGCGTGATGTTCCGTAAATAGAATTCCCATTTTAATCTCCGCGACCAATACGATAAAAGTCTTGAGACGAAGTACACTCAAGAAACACCAATTAGCTTTTAAAGACAATGTTAAAAACTTACTGCCTATTGCGACTTGAGATCGAAAATTATCCTCAACGGACGCCGCCATATTAAGAAGCACTTGGAAACAAGGCCGCACGCGTAAAACTATAATGCACAGTTCATCGACTTCTGCTCTTGTTTCCGCAAAAATTTAGTATTCTGGTCAAGAATGCTTTTGTGTGTAGCCTCTGATCGTTTGTGGAGATCGCTAAGAGCTTGCATAAAAGGAGCGAGACTTTGTTGCGTTACAGTGAGATAGTCAGGCTGCGGGGCAAGATTCAAAACGGCGCCTTTCACTATCGAATTTACAGCGCATTTGGAGACAATCGTCAACGGATAAGATTATGCGGTCAATATCAAAATTTCATATTTACTTTTCAATGATGAATATTGAACATGTTTTCTGGAGAAAAGTTTCCCTTTAGTAGACCATAAACGTTTGGTCATAATAACAATAAACATAATTGTAATCAAACACTAAGAAAAAAATTCAAACAACTTGTGTGCTAAGTAAACGTTGTTTTTAATACAAACACACCTTGATAATTGTCACACGCTACCTCTAAGATCTGAGACGGTACGTTTACCATAACATATCCTGAAACGCTTGACCTAAAAGTTAAATTACTTCCCAGAGAAGAAACGAGGAAAGGGTGCGATGCCTCGAATTTTAGAGGAGAAGAAATTGTAATCTAAAAAATTTGTCATTAAAATGGGAAATAACCGTGACGAGCATAAATGAGACTTTAAAAACTTCTTGAAATCGTAACGAGTGATTTATATCACAACAAAGAGAGTCTTTCAATTGTCACTTCTTATTAATATTTACTGCCAGCCTTACAGAAATAAAGTTGAAAGTGAGCACTTCAGCAGCAAAGTAAGCAGGAGGTACGGTTTTTCATGCACTGAAGGCCAGGTGCCCAATCAGTGTAAAGACGTATGCACTTAGTTGACTTGAAACGTGTGCTGAGTGGCTTGAACCGTATAGGAGACTTATATCTGCATGTGGAGAAAAATATGTAAGTACTAGAATAGAAAGATAAGCAGGGATTTGACGCCAAAAGGTTTGTAACCCTCCATAAGGGGGATACAAAGGCATCCCTATCCTGCAGATTTTCGGTTGCGCGCAAAATTTAAACAAAGATTAGTACAGTTATTTTTTCATTGGATTTCTCTAACGTGTTTTGCTCATGTATATGAAACTCGTGAGAATGAAGATGGCATGCGTACGATGTAAATTAACCTTGCAAACGGGCGTGCATGTCAAGGAACCGAGATCATCCTTTACAACAAACAAATTTCGTTTCATAATCTACATCACTTGTAAAGAGAGCTTTCAAAACGCCAAATACGGAGAGTAACCTTATTCATCATCTTGGTAAAATATTACACTTCAGCATACAATTGTTCTGACCAAAAAAAAAACAATCTTCAGATGAATTTATTAACAAAGTAACCTTGGAAATAAGGAAATTGTCCTTAATAGAAGCATGCGTTCTGGTTTTGAATAGTTTGATTTGTAGTCTTATCTAGCTGTCCCATCAGGACAGGCATTTTTTTCCACTTGCAGAGGCTGTTAGGAAAGCATCTTAAAATACTAGTTCATGATCATTTTCGACTTTTTTTCGGATACAGTCATTTTGATGATTGGAAAAGTATCAATTCGATGCTTTTTTACAATCGACTATTTGGAAGCAATAACTAACTCTCTTACTTACGTCCTCCAACACATACTTCGGGTAAATTCGTCTCTTCAACAAATCGACAATGGTTTAGCGTGGTTTGTTCTCATATTGACAAAGATATTCGTCATCAGTGGTCACAATGTTGCGAACTCAACGAGACGGCAGATAAAGCACTGTCGATTTGTTTTTTTTACGATAATATCGACGTCAATTAAAACGATTCTCTCAGAGCGTGACACGTTGATGCGAGAAGCGTTGTTTGTATTCTTAGAGATCGACAACGGAATATTGACCAATCAGATTGCGACATTACCGTCAATTGGGTTAAAATATCGTTCCTTACCTATGCATTCTCCGTGATAACACTCTTCATTCTCTGCGCAATTACATTCCTCCTCTTCTTTCTCAGCTTGAAAAGAGGCAAAAATGCATCATTGGATATGGTGGATTTGAAATGTTCTGTAGTGAAAAGCCCTTGCTGCGCTACGTCTGTACTGTCAAGCGGGACTCGAGACTACGTCCTCCCAGTAGGATTACATCAATATCGGTATCTGGGAAATTGCCCACCTACCCCTCCCCTGATCGTGCTTTGTTGATAATATTTATGAATCTCTCTCCGAAGTGTAGAGCTTATCACACTCCCCATTGGAACGTTGGATCAATATTAGTATCTGGGCAACTACCCACCTACCCCTCCCCTAACCCAACATTAACCCTAACTTGTTATTAATTGACTGTTGTTGGGTTAGGGGAGGGGTAGGTGGGCAGTTGCCCAGATACTGATATTGGTGTGGGGGGGAGGGGGAAAGGAATGTTTTTGATGGAGTCGTAAACTCAAAACCAAAGGTATCGCAACGACCCATCAGAAGAGAGAATTATATCTCTAAGAGCCAATGAGAACCCAAAGCCAAACAACCGAGCTATCTAAAGCATGGGAGAACCCGGGTGAACGAGTCGTGATTGGTTTCAGTTTTGCTATTAGTTTAGATTGGTTGGTTCTCATCGATTTACAAAACGAAGTAAACTAATTAAAAGTAATCCCGGATGACTTTTGACGCTCAGTTGAAAATTGCTCCATGCGCTCTCACCAATCGTTTCTTTTGAGCACCTAATTGCAATAATCCATTACATATTTCTCATATGTCCCTTAATCTACATCCCAGATCCTCTTAAAATGGTTGCCAGATTAAGCTGAAGTAAAAATGCATACTTTGCGTTTTCTTCAAATTGAAAAACGTTTCCTCGGAGGGACGTTTTTATGACGTTTAATTTGAGAAAATCCCGCGAACGGAAAAAGCAAAAAAAATGATAATAATGATAATTTTAATATACTGTACTAACAATTTTCCTACTAATGATAATAATTACAATAAATATGACGATAGTACAATTTATCTCTTAGAGAATGATACGTTGTTACAGGCATCTCATTAAATCGGTATGCTCCTCAGTCTAATTTTGCGGAAAAACATATTAAGACGTATGTTATCTTTGCGATTAAAACCCCATTCACACCACAGAAAAACCTTTTTATTTGAACCGTTTTGAAATGAAAGAAAATTAGAAACAGAGAACTGAAAAGGTGAATTTTCCTTGGGATTCAAGTAATCGCAACTTTTTTTTTTCATTGCACTACATTTGAAGTCGACAAACATCGGTTTCAGCAGCTTCTACGGAGAAGAAAAATTTCAACCTCGTTTAACATAACATCTTTAAAACATGTTTAAGCTATGGTGTGAATAGGCCTTATGGTTCTCTCGTTCACGCTTGCTCGTAACACTCTTTTGACTGATCTTATGGTCGCAATTGAGACAACTACGTCGTTTGTGTGAAAAGTTTTAAAAACGTACCTTCCTTAACACATTTATCATATCTCTTCACAAATCCTAGTTTACAGGGACAAGAAAACCACCCTCGGTGGTTTCTACATTCAGTGCCATCATCAGTGCAGGGAGACTCGTCAGCAGCACATTCGTTTATGTCTAAAATGAAAGATGATAAATTGTGTTCACTTAACTGAGATCATTCCTTCCTTTTAAACAGCAAACGAGACTATATAAAGCATTCATCGTCAATCTAAAGTTTGTTTAAGTAAAAGCTTGAATTTAGAAGCATAGTTTCAGTTTTACATATTACTCTAAGTCATAAAAAACGGAGTAGCCCATTCTCGACCAACCCTCACCTCCTTGTATCTTGGTGACAGATAGCAAAAATGACGGTAACAACAGTTATGATAATTTTAATAAATGATGGTAATAGGACCGAGTGGAGTTCAATTCGATCTGTAATCATGCGAGAGGTTACAAAATCGGACGACCGCAAAGCGGGAGTCCGATTTGTCAATCGTAACATGAAAATAATTTAAAAAATCAAGTACATCTATTTGAGAAAATATCTCCAGTAGAGACATTGTCTTAACTAAAAAATTCCTCCATTTTGGAAATTCCCCAGTTTTGTAGGGTATGTAGTTGTTGTATGGTTATTGTAATCAGTTTGTGATTGATGAATTTAGCTGAGTGGACTTAGTATGATTGGCTGCTCTAACCGTCCGATTACAGGTGTCCGATTACAGCCGACTATCCGACCTCATTGTATGATTACAATTCTAAAGAATAATCAGTGAAAAATACAGTAGCTAATGCACCCATCACTCTTGAGGAAATTGTAATGGTTACATGATGATTATACCACAAACGAGAGCTGTTAAGAACCAGTCATATTCTAGCATTTTGTTATTGACACAATTACATAAGTAACAATAACATGAATAATGTTAACATTATAACGACAACTACCACAACAATGATAACTGTAACGATAACATTGACCATAACCATTCCCATAGCAGTGTCGATGAAGCCTGCAGTCAACAATAACGATTGTTATAAAAATAACAGTAATAGTTATAAAAATAATGATGGGATTCAGCAATGGACACTCCACAAGGTGGCTCTTGTTGTCCTCTGTGACCATCCATGTCCAACTGAAATTTGGAATGTTCGTTTTTATGAAGGGAGGAAAACCGAAGGACCCGCAGGAAAACCGGAGGACCTGCGGGAAAACCGAAGGACCCGTGGGAAAACCGAAGGACCCGCAGGAAAACCCTAAACCAACAAAAAGCTCAACCCACATGTGACACCAGTTCCGGGAACTGGACACAGGCCGCAGTGGAAATTTTGGATTTTCCAGCTCATACAAGCTGACTATGAAGCCATTTATCTAAGTACCTACATGCCACGAATCTTATGGAAACTGTTCCCGTTCATCTGTCTCAATAAATCTGAAGATGATTTAATCTGATGTGGTTGTAACTTGCCTTTGCATTGTCCTTTCCTATATTCAAAATATCCAGGAAAACAAGAGCATCTTCCTTCATCATTGCATTCTCCATTTGGAAGGCAAGCACATTCCACTTTTGTGAAAGAAAACAATTGTTATTATAGCATAGCGCGCGTGCTTGTCCTATGTAAGTTCTATTGAGCCGCTATGAAGAAAATCTTTTAATTTACGCACGCCCGTGCATAATTAAGATGACGTGAGCATTTTTTGTTCATTGTTGCTCTGTTATAAAAGAATTTGCTCATGCTTTTAGCTGTGCGTATATCGAGTTATGGGTGCACTTGGGAAGTTTGGAGGGCACTCAAAAAGCTAGAGTTGCTTAGGGTACTCTTACGTATTTTTCGTGCTCTCCAAACTTCCCACGTGCATCCATAACTCGATATACGCACGCTAAGCATGAACAAATTCTTAATTTTCATGCAATGTACATTTAGCGATTAAAAGGTGGAACTAGGACTATTCTAAAGCACTTAAATGTTGCAGAAAAAAAAAAAAAGGTTCGCGCCTCAACAAAACTTACCCTAGCTTACTCTCTGACTTACTTCTTTTGGTGCCTCCTGAGAGTACCCTTTCGACCGTTTGATGAGTTCATCAGCTGTATTTCAAAGCAAGGAACTTTTGTACCGTGTTTTAACTGTTGGTCGCCCCAGATTCCCCTTCTGATCCCCAGTTACTAGCATCTAGTTTCTCCTTATAGTATATCAACCCTGGATCAAATACATGACGAGCTTTGCTCAAGAAAAAAATTCTCACCAGGGATGCGTAAAATGATCCATAGGCTTGTCAAAGTAAAGCGAGAGGGCTCAATTAGCAAGTGAAAGCGAGGTGTTTGTGTCTGCTTTAAGGTTTTGGGTTACTCTCGCCATGCAATTTGGACGCCGAAAAGTGCCAAAAAAGTAATTACTGAAAATTCATCCGCAACACCTCGGTCGTTCTGTGGGCGCGAAGTCAGTTCTTCTCTTACAGTTAATAATTGCCAGGCGGATCTCAGATCCGCCTCAGCCTCATTTGCGTAAATTCTTTTGGTGAGCAAAGCTCGTCATGCAGGAGGCTAAAATAGCTGATCACCAACAAAAGAAGCTCGTGATTGTTAAACAAATTCTCCTTTTTGGCACCTAAGGAAATGCCTGGAGAACAGTATGAAGAATGTGCATGCTGATGTTAGGGTGTAAAGTGTTAAGAGACATTGGGCAAAGTGTTTCCTATGTGCTGAATATGGACTTTCCTGGAGTACCTACTCTCGCAAACTCCGTCAGCAGTCTTCTGGAATCCTGCCTTACAATCACATTTAAAAGCACCCTCCGTGTTTGTGCAGTGAGAGTTAGCTGGGCATGTGTCCGGGCTCTTACATTCGTCTATATCTGCAAGTAAAAAATTAACAAAGATAAAAGGCATAAATCTCCTCCCTCCTGTGGTTCCATCTGCCTTCCCAACCCAAAAATGCAACCTTTCATTTCGCCGAAAGAAACATTTCGCACTTATAAAATATAACTGTGCTAAACGAGATAAAGATATTATTGCTAACAGAGAAATGAGAATTTATTCACGGAGAAGACAGTTCTTCATGAACTAAAGATTAATATCACCTTTGCAAATTGTTTCATATTTAACCAAAACCTCAGTGAAACCATCCATACAGAAGCAACCATAGTTGCCATTCACTTGCTTACATCCTCGTCGGCCAGAACACGGGTTGCCTATCTTCTCGCACTCATTCATTTCTAAAAAGTAAATAAAATGAATAAACGATAAAGGATCAAAGTCAATTTCTGATTACAGTGGTACTCTTAAAAAACTGAGTCATCCTCAGGGAAACTTTAGACCCCAGGGTTGCATCAAAACGAGAGCGTAGAAGCCGCCATGATTGCTGATATCTGTCGAGGTATTGGTAGAAATTGAAAGAAGAAGGAACGAAAATGAGAGCCCATTTTTCTCCGCTGACCTCGTCGCTTTAAAGCGAGTTCATTTTATGAATATTGACATCATACCTACACAAGTACCATCATTAGACTTCTTAAAATCCAGATGACATCTGCAGTATGGATTCTTGGGATACTTGGGATCAACAACACAGAGGGCGTTAGAGTCACAATGGTATTCTTTTGGACAGGGAAGAGAGGCTACAATACAAAACAAAATGGACATAAACATTACATTGGATCAATGTGAAAGCCAAGATGCAGGGTTACCAGCGTGCATGAGTGCATACCAGGGTTACCAATGTACATGTGTGAAACCCTTGACTTATTTGAGTGGATCCGGGGTAGGGGGGGGGGGGATTCAAAAACTGTTGTGTGAGTGTGTATTTCTGTTCCTATTTTCATAATAATTAGCAGAAGCAGCTCTCAGTTTTTGCTTAAAATTTGCTATGGGGTTTTACCTAAATTCCACCGCAGGTATCAGGAGTTATTTCCTCTTGGGAGTTGGTTTATTGCCTACGGGAGAGCTCTAACAGCTTAAATTTAATTTTAAGAGGCTGAATGTCGAATAGTTTTTAGTATAGTCAAAATCTTATAAAATAACAGTATGGGCCTGCATATGCTCTTACAGAAATTCTGAACAGGAAGTTGGGGATACAAGAATTGAAAAGTCTGGCAAGAATTTGATATCTTGACACATAGGACCACTCAATTGGCAAACAGTGAAAGGAGATAAATCGTTTTGTTGGCACGGTTAGTTCTCAAAAATTCCAGCAGCAATTCTTCATTCCCCTGCGTACATTTTTGAGCTTTTAGAATTTGCAATTACAGTACCTTTGCAATCAAATCCTTCCCCTACTGTGTGTCCCCTGCAATAGCACTTTTCTCGATGGCATACGGCATCTTCATGGCAGTCGCTAGGCTTGGTACATTGATCTAGATTTTCTTAAAAGAAAATAGGGATCATCCAGGACCGTGTTCTTAACTTATTATTATTATTATTATTAAATTATTAGTATTAAATTATTAGATTTTTATTTAGAGAAAAGATATTGAATATTGCATTTTATTTATTACTACTACTTAATGTTTTTATCGTTGTTGGCAGATTTTAAAGAGGAATTAGTGAAAAGATGTTAAATATTGGTAGTGATTGCTAATAGTAATAGTAATAATAATTAGTAGAGAAACATTTTCGTGGATTATAGTTCAAGAGATATTGAGACATTATGATTTTTTCTTTTCTTTCTAACAGATGTTAAGGTACAAATTTCATTCTTTTTAAGTGAAGCACTGTACATAGGTCTTTTTTATGAGTATTGAATAAAGTTTTGTATATCTCTTGGCAATAGATTTAATCTAAACGCCCACCGAGTGACGCATGTCGATTTTTGTATGGTTTACGGAACATCTTGCAAAGATATAAAACACTCAGTTGAAGAAACAATGGATTAGTAGAAAGGCTTGAACATATGGAATTAAATTATTAGTATTAAATTATTATCATGATGACTTTTTAAATTGAAATTCGTAAGTCAAAGCAAAGCAAGATCCCTCTCTCTTTCTCCTACATGACAAACTATTTATCTCAAAACAGCCAATGGTTATAAAAAGTCACTAATAGAGCAGCTTAGGAACATTCTTACCTGGTTTTCTGCAAGTGCCCTTGAAACACCGCTGATCCCCTTTACAATCTTTGTCACCGACGCATGCTAAGGTGAATTTGGAGATGATTTGTTAAGAAGCTAAACTTGACATGTGCAACGGTGAGTGTTGTTTGGTGTAACTATAACAGGGACATTTCATCGGCAAGGGATACGTTTTACTAGAAGATGGCCGTTTTTAACCTCGCAATGGAGAGGTGCGAGTAGCAATTTTCAAGTTACAAACTTAATCTTGCTCTGGTTACTTGTCTTTCTACTTCTTAGGTCGAAACGAATTTAAAACTATTCTGACCATGGTGACTCGAGAAATGGCACGTAAACCTTCTAAAACAAACTAAATTTATAACATAGTGCGCGTGCTTGCACTATGTAAGTCCTATTGAGCCGCTATGAACAAAATCTTTATTTACGGACGCCAGTGCGTAAATAAGGTGACATGAGCATTTTTTTAACCTGGCTTCAGTTTTCGTCCTGTTAAGCTGCAGTGCAGTTTCCCTTCTCTTTGAAATATAAAAGAAACCAGCGAAGAACTACCCAATTTTTCTATCGGCATTGACCTTTTTGGTCCTGATCCAACAAACAACAAAAAAGCCGAAAAAAACTCGCAAGTTGCACGTTTCGCAAACTTGTCGGAATCGTAAACATTACTTTGAACAATCAAAACCCCTGATAACTTCGGGTCTTTGACTTTTAAAAAATTTTTTAGTGACACTTGAATTCATCTGGCTTTGATTTTCTCCATTTTCCCCGTAAATTTTGAGCTTTTCATTCACAATTATCGGTCAAACCAAAGTATAAATTAGGGCGTGTTTTTGACCAGCCAATAGGGACGTTTGTTTACTTTTTTTTGTGCGTAGTGAGAATTTTCAATAAAAGGCTTCTTCGTGCAGATCGTTGTTGTCGCTCTGTTATAAAATAATTTGCTCGTGCTTTTAGCTGTGCGTATATCGAGTTATGGATGCACTTGGGAAGTTTGGAGAGCACTCAAAAAGCTAGAGCTGCTCTCGGCTGCGCCTCGAGCTACTCTTACACATTTTTCGTGCTCTCCAAACTTTCCGCGTGCATCCATAACTCGATGTACGCACGCTAAGCATGAACAAATTCTTAAATTCTCTTTGGCGCGACATGGCGCGCGCTGGTTAAAACCGTTAAAAGGCATCAGTCCGAAAACTTAACGTTTTCCTGATGAACGACTAAAGGACAAGTGGGCAACATTTCTTGCAGCTTGTCGTTCAACACTATCGCTTTGCAAGCTGAGCCCGAGTTCTAACATAACATAACTCAACAACGATGCTCAGAACCGGTGAGGAATTAAAAAAGAATACTTAAAGCACTTCCAACGAAAAGGTACTTAAAAAAGTCAAGAAACTTACAACTTGCAACTCTGACACAGATAATTGTGATCATCATTAAAGAAAGAATCTGTCTCGACAAAGACCGCATTTTGAGGGGAAGGTCAGTCAATTTTCCAGAGGTCTATGTTAGCATTTAAGTGATGCGCGACGAAAGAAACTGATTACTTGAGTCGTTCAGTAGTTTCCTGATTATCTACGTCACAATGACTTAAGTAAGACATGACTCGACGTGAGCGAGGAAAACTGCATCCAAGTTAACTGTTTTGAGGAGATTGAAGTTGAGAAGATATTTTTGAGATTTTTAAAACTGGAAGCGCTAGCGTACTTACTTCCTTTGAACTGGGTTATGCACATCTACTCAGTCGACTCAAACACAAACATTGCAAAGCTATCAAGTTCCGAAGACCTTTAAATTGCTCTGAATGTGGTATTTCTCTTAACATCTTAGACTGAATAATCGCATTGAGATATAAAGAATCTAGGAAGAGTAATTCTAGTTCTGTTTAAGACGAGTGTCGAAAGGTCGCATGGTCGATGAGGTTGGCATATTGCAGACCGTTGATAGCAAAACTTCAGAGAAATTCTCGTCTTTTCATGTGAAGCGGGAGGAAAAAACCCAGGTCAATTTCTCATGTCAGCGATAAATCTTAATATAAGTCATTACTGAGATCATTGAGATCGTTTTGAGTTTGACGTACTGGTCGAATCACATTCTTGAGACGGCTAACCTTGGTATGCCAAACGCGAAAACAAATTTCTTAATTCTCTAGGAACATCGGAGTTCCCAGCAGGAACAAACTACTCCAGGAATGTTCACTGGGCAAAGGAAGTTTATAGCCAAAAAGCCTGTTTTTCTTACTTTTCCCGTGATTTCATAATTACACCGCAAAAAGTAGTTTCCTATTTTCAGTTAAAAACTCTTATTTTTAAGAGTAAAACTCTTAAATGGCTGTCCGTGGGTTGAGTCATTCTCTCTTAAGTTGAGGGTGGAAACACCTAGTCAGGTAGAGTAAAACGATATTACTAGGGTTTATGGCCTTGACAAAGGCTTAGTGCTTCGCTTAATTAAGGCTGTTAATTAACTTGGTCAAGTACTGTTCACCAAATTTAAAAGATCTAAAGATATTTGATCAAGTGTCACTTAATCAAATTTAAGAGAAGAATTTCCTCATTAAGTAGGCTGTAAACCTAAGTGCAGGAAATAGCCTAGCCTAGATTAAGTGTCACACTCATACAATGATGTGACAATAAGCCTTTGTTAATGGATATATCCCCTAGTTTAAGGGGATACCCCCTTTTTCTAAAGACTATGCACTTCAGTCAAAGGAAGCCCTCTTGTTAAAAAAGGAATGTTTTGTTCATTGCTTGCTAACATTTTGGGAAGTTAAAATCCAAATGTTTGTGATGGTATAAAAAAAGAGGTGAATGCTTCAAAAATCTATTAATCTACAAGGAAAAATCTAAGCAAAATAAAAATTGCACACCATGGAATGAAAAACAACAATTTTTACTTTTGTCTTGAATGACAACAAGACTTACACAGCAATAATTTTTAAAATTTAAAAAATTCCAAGACTGTCATTTCAACTTTTGGTTGGAACCAACCTCAGCAATCATTATATAAAATTGTACATCTATCATTATGAACATCAAAGGCTCTTGATTAAGCCTATAACTATATCAAGACCAACAATAAGTACAAAATCAGTTAGGGCTAGTTTACACCTGGTCCAGCAACACTGATTGAATCTGGAGAATAGACTTCAAACTTAACTTCCAGAATCACCACAACAAACTATGTTAGCTCTTAAAGGCAATAAAAAATTTGGATGATTCCAATCACTACTGATTGCATCTGTGCTGTAAAACTAGCTCTACTATAAAACAGCTATATATTTGTATGTATATAATTTAAATTAATTGTGAGTATCTCAAACAATATCAAGTTGTGATATGGTGTGACACTCATGCATTCTCTCAATTTAGGTGAATACAATAGTGTATCTTTATCAACAAGGACTTCTCTAATACTACTCTACTCAAAGTAAGTTGGCAAAAACCAAATAGGGTATGATTGAATTGACCTGTGGTAGCTATTGATGACCGTGGTGCACAAAGGAGCTTATGATCTCCTAAAACAAACTTTTGTAGATAAAAATAAATGTTTCTGAAACTTTGTGGGTATTCAAGGTGGTAAATTTAATACAGGGCAAGAAGTTGAATTAAACAGTGGCCTAATGTATTGTCACTTTTGGTAACTTGACAGTATAAATGTTCTCCAATCATAAGACTGTATGGGCTGTTTGGATTATCATCTTCACTGTCTTTATCATCATGGACTAGAATGTTTGGCTTTTGCTGCAGACAAATATGTTGGACTTTCCTTGAAGTAAAATGCAAAGAAGGACACGATTCACAGGGAGAAATTTCTAATTATTGTTCTTTAAAGTACAACCAGCTAAACTTCATACACTCAGTTTTCATAAAGAAACATACTAGGAATGCAATTTTACCTCAGAAGACGTCAGCTTGACAAAAGAAGAATGACTTTGAGCAGCTCCTTTTTTCTTTTTACAGACTGTTGGAAATACTTTACTGAAGTTATTCAGCACATCAGTATCTACAAAATGCAAAAATTAATAACAAATTATTTTGTTAGATGCAACAAATATTACTACAAAAGGAAAGATAACACTGCTGCCATGTTGCATAAATCAACAATGTCACACTGCAACAATTAAACATGATTAGATGGTCAGCTCTAAACACAGACATCAGACAGAAGAGCTAAGTAAAACAAAGACCTCAGTGGAGAGATGACACGCTCCCAGTCAAAAAGTTCAAAGCATTTTTTGACTGTCACCTTTTATTCACTGTTACTTTATCTGACAGACCTGAAAGAATGTCTTAAACACTCTCAGACAGACAGGAATTTGTTGTCACAATACTGTAAACTAGCCAGCATTCTGGCAAATTTTTTTATTTTTATACACCATGACATTTGCTGTGGTACTTTACCTGTGACTTCCTGCTCAGCAATACTGAACCTCTGAGAGAGAAATGCTTTTAATTTGACAACTTACCTTCTCCAGTTAGAAAGCATTTGTTCTACTTGTCCTGTAACTTTCTTTTTGAATTTTAAAGTTCTTTCTAATTCCTCTTCTACCTGGAAAGCTAAAGAAAACAATAAGAAAATAGTTTTCAGGATTTCTATTTTTTTTTTGTATCAAACATACATGTAAGTGTCCGGTAATGGGTCATGTGGCAAACAGCTTATGGCATTTGAAGGACCATAAAAACAGGTCATGATCATTCATTTTGAAACAATCATTTCTATAACACAAATGGAAAACATATATTACATGTATGCCTCTTGACTGACCTAATCACAAAAGTATTTTATCAGCCTTGTGTACTCATTATGAGTTAGATAACCATGAGGGGACGCAAATCGTCTATACTGTAAGTATCCCGGAGAGTCCCCTACATTTTCTTAGACTTTTAGTCTAAGAAAATGTATGGGACTTTTTGAACGCTCCAGGCAGCTTTCCTGTAAGGTGTCATAATCCTGTTGCTGCTGACATCGATGTGACAGATAATTGCTTTTGCACTGTTTTCTTTGCCGGCTAATACTTGTCATCAAGTTTCAATAAGACGGCTATCATTTTTTACAAGAATAATGAAGTTTTCGTAAATTGTGATATGTACTTACAGAGCAGACGATTTGCGTCCCCTCATGAGCATACAGTAACTCAGTGTACCTGATATCCATTAGCAAGAATAGGATATTTTGTCAAGGTCTCCCTAACTCTTGTCCTGACATCAAGCTGTTTAATGAGAATTCTACACTTGATGAACTCAGCAGTCATCAGTTCTTTCACTACCTCCTCATTTGGTGAATTTTTCTTTCACTCTTCCTCTGTGCCTTTCCAAACTAGTATTATCATCCACATTTATAGGAGTTCCTTCAGAG